TCCTTGGTGTTGATGGAAGCGGTGTGTTGTTAAATGAGGGAGCGGTTGGCTGTGTTGAAATACCGCAGGTCCAGAGTTTTCCAACAGGCCAGATCGGTGCCTGGAACGTCTATTGACACTGTGGATAAGATAGCAAGGTCTGAGTATTTGCGCCATTTGCCGTAGCACTTGTTTATTGAGACTCTGTCTCCTTGCCCTGGGAGAAGATATTCGGTTTACTTCGAAAATTATGCGCTTGGGCCGACAGAAGTCACCCATACTTACAACCTGGTCGTTAAATAGCAGTTGCGTTTGCCTTATTACTGGCACGATTACTGGCCTCCACAGTAGGAGTGCTTAAAGCGGCCATGAACTGGTTAATTTGGTGGTCTACTTACGATTTCGTCGTCGATTTTTAAAAGTGGGATAAGTTAAAAGAAGAAAAAGAGGAGGAGGGAGAAGAAGCGATATGAATAGATGGAAAATAACATGTTCCAGACGATCGGTACTAGGAGAACTGATCATCGCCGTGGCAAATGCAAACATTTTGCTTTTGGAATATTTCCGAGAGCACCAGGCGTTCATAATAACCCTGAGAAAAATACTATCTACTGCAAACATTCTAGGCGTCTGGTCGCTCACTTGCGAATCCCCTGCGCGGAGCCAGGCAAGCCGGTGTCAAGAGACCCAACGCACACCCGTCCCCCCTTCTCGTCCCGGACAACTTCGTTTTACCATGGGAATCTGACAGACTGCACCAGATCCGGTAAACGACTCCTAAGGAGATAGTGACTGTGAACCGCCTCAAAGCATCTGTCACGGACTTTCCGTCAGACGAGCCCTGTGGTCCCCTACCCTCTGCTCCCCCACCTCCTTCAGCCTCTATTTCGCCCTCCCGTATTTTCTCTCTTCTCCCCTGTCCGCTACTGCCAAATGCCACCTCTTACTCCAACACTTTCGCCCCAGGAACTACCCACTCTTTTTTGGATCCTGTATATATCACCCACAGTGGTTGTCTCGTTCACTTTCCTGACCAGTTGGCCACCCATTTCTTTTAGACTTGCACTCATCCTTCGGTTTCCTTTCCGCCTACCTCCTGTCTCGGAGGAGAGTATTGTGCCGAGGCGCCAGACTATCTTGCACTTACTTACCTGCACGCCATTCCTAAACTTACTGTTTGTTTATCTGAATGGAAGGAACTCGGCTCAACGCGACACGCCTGGCATGTGTTGGACTATCGGGTCGTTTGGCATTTACTCATTAATTTTGTCATAATTCCCGTCTTGCCCTGATGTCCATAGTCTGGGATTGGCAATCGAGTCGCCACAGTCAGGCACGCCAATCCGCACTCCTGGAACACCAGCTAGGGCCAGCCACTTACGTAAAATTATGCATCTGTGGGCTGGCCAGGGTACAACTCCAACGACCGACAGTTTGTTAGTCGAAAGCGCCAAGGTCTACCACTGCCTGTAGTAGGCGCAATGGTCCCCTCAACCAGAATTTGCTTATAATTGAGTAAACTTCCGCAGTATACATGTTCTAATGAGAAGGTGCAGGCCAGAAGACTGAAGACGATTGCTTGTGCTGTCATTGAAATGCCGGTAATTACATACAAAACGCGTGATAACTTATGCCTTCATGCACAGACTGTCGCGCTTTGTTTTTCTCCAGTTAAAGTAACCAACTTGTAGCCCACTCGGGCTTCTGAAATTGGTAACAAGAGCTTTTTGGTTCAAGGTGAGACTAATAAGATGGCACTTTTCGGCTTTTTCATTTTGAAATTTTATCTCGTTGAGGGGCTACGTCCGCCGGAGTCCTACATTCTCAGGGCATCAGTTGAGATTAGACTTACCAAGAAGCACCTTAATGATGATATGGTTTTCCCAGTATAGCCAATCACTTCCAAGTTCTATCACAGATCTTGGCTTCACCTGGTAGGTCGGATATCTGCTCATCAGTAGGAAAGTGGATTAACTACTTCCTGCAATCAGGCCGGAGTTTTGATACATGAATATTTGCGCCGAATTCCGTCATCCACAGCGGAGAACCTCGTAATATTGATTAAATTCCGACAGACAGCCAGTATCCCAGTACATATTTTCAGACCGTGAAGTGAAAATCACTGGACTTGTTTATGAAAATAAAAGCAGCTATATGTTCGAAATCGGCGACAAACTTAACACCACCTCTCCTCATAAATGGAATCAAAAGAAATAAGTCATTATTCAATCACACCCAAGTCTGAAGAGAAAGCCCTACTTTAGATTCAACTGATTGACCTAGGGTATTTGCTGAATGCTGCCGCAGTTCGTTTCGTGAAATGGATGTTTACAGTCTTCAAAATGGAACTTACCCTGAATCCAGACTATGTCCATTTCTTTCAGCAATGCCTGGAAACATTTACATTCGTGTTTTGACACTCACGATTCTGCCAATGATTTCTGCTAACGTCATCAACGGTGAGTACTATACGTTGCTTTAGACAGTGAGACACTCACAACTGCGTTTATATGCTGGAAATCTTCGCCCTAATTTAAAACTTTTACTGCAGTACGCACGTGTTTTAATTCTACTTGTCAGTATCATCACGCATATATTTATGCTTATTTCAAGTTTTGGCCGATCTGAACCCTAAAGAAAATGACAAAGTTAGCGTGGTCGCCCTGGTCTACATCCTTGCATTTAACCTCATTTCCTCACTCATTGGCATGACCTACAGTTACATCATTAGGCCCGGTAAGTCCTCTTCTTTTTCTAACGGCATACACTCTAAGAAGATCTAATCGACCGGGAAGTGGTCCCTTCCGTAGAACAAGGTTCAATCAACTCTGTCAAACGGCAATAGGCCAAAAATTGGTGAAAATATTATTTTGTTCAAAGGAACAGTAAATTTGGTCATTTCAACTGGGCACAAGGACCACGGGTGTCTAGCAGTCCGAACTTGGAACATGCAGTGAAGGTAGAGGGGCTAAACAGAAGGAGTGCTGAAATCATTAAGGCACTGACAGCGACTGCGGATGAACAGAGGGTAGTTTCTGGCAACTGGCGTAGGCTTATATTTAAGTTATTACGATCTCGGATCCAACTGCATGGTCAATCTGTCTCCATAGGCTTTTGACCTATTTGGCTTTCCTGTAGATAGGAAAATTTCCTAACACCCTGATGTTACTTTCCGTCGATTTGCAACACATTTTATTTTTAATAGGCCGTGGAAGAGTCGATTCAACCTCAAGCACAAACAATGTAATTAAGGACGACGGCAATCAAATCTCGTACATTTTTAGAGACCTATTCCTGTGAGTGTTCTTGTTACTTACAAAAACATTGTGCGAACTATAGGGGTGGACTTAAAAGCCAAATAATTGAAAATGGGAATGTACTTATATTCCAGCTGGAAGTCTACTTCAACTGTCTTAAAAATACTAAAAGCAGACAGATGTTGAAAATACTAAGTACATAATCTAAAGCTGTCTACAGAGAGTGGTCGGTAAAAGAGCCTTTTGTACTCGTATTTTCGTGAGAATCGCTCATTTTATCTCACAGGACGTAGAATAGTGATATGTCTGGAGGACATATTATGATATAAGCTGAGAATATGCCAGTTGTAAAAAGTGAAAGATTGTGTGGAAAGATCGCTTTCAGGCCACTAATAGCACTCACAAAATGCATGCTTTTTGTGCGAAATTTGTGCGCACAGCAGCAGTAGCAGCAGCAGCAACACATGTCAGAACAGTCAAACGTCATTTTGCAATTAATCCGCAGCATCTTGCAGCAAGAAAGTCTTACAATGGCGACTGTCCAAACTGAAGGACCTATCTTGTTTCCTGACATCAATGAAAGGAGAGGGGGAGCATTCTAAGCCGTTAGAAGAATTCTACGCAGAGCCATTTGAGCGGAACGCCAGTAACCGCCAAATATTCGCACGTATTTCTGTGGTTACCATCAAAATGACCAGAAACACAAAGCACCGCGTTAGTTGTCATAAGCAGTCAGGTTTTATCTAAGCATCCCACGCTAAATGGTTATCTACTAAGATTGATCTTCGCCTCCACCATCGCACGCATTCAACTTTCGACTGGCCAATTTTAGGAACATTTTCCCTGACAATATCGTTGGTGTCACACTCTTCCAGGTAAGCATTTTGACATCTGCTGCCCTCCCTAAAACTTGCAACAAAAGTCATTCGCCTCGTTGAATTTCTCGTCTTATGCGGACTTTTCGGGACAAGACAAGCAACGAATACGTTGCCTCCAACAATTGTGCTGAGTCGAAGGTTTGTATCTTCGCAGTTATAACTGCCAAACCGACATTTCACACTTCCATTCAAGGGGTAGGGGAGAGGGAAATCAGGCTCAGGGTAGTGAAAGAACTCTCGCAACGTAAAATATATCCCGAACAAAGCATGCTGGTACGATTTGGTTTGGCAGGCGTTTATCACCTACACGTCATATTTACAAATTGCATCTACGGCTGACAGAAAGCGTGGTTGGCGGCAACGCTGCTCTCTCTCTCTCTCTCTTTGTGGTCACACTTCGTTGTGCTACATTCCTCAAGCACTGCAAATCAGAACTCAAGGGCTCACGGGAAGTACCATTTCCGTCCTCCAAACAGGCCATTTCGCTAAGCGTCAAGTCCTCGTGAACGTGGGCCGCCGTGGCTCGACCGGGTAGGGCACCAGACTTAATAACCAAGTTAGCCCTCAGAAGGCACTGACCCCCCGCCCCCCCCCCCCTTATTTAGAGAAGGAAAAACGGCAGGTTTACCCTGTCTGCACTTGGCTTATGTCTGACTAACGGCAGGGAATTGGTCAGAAGCCGCAGTTTCCGGTCAATAAGTTTCCAGTCAGCATAATCAGTTCCAAGTAATAATTTAGTTATAGCATTTAAAGGACCATCATTCTTCCCTCAAGAATGAAATAGCATACAAAGTGTACACTATGGAATATCCAGTATAATACACAATGATCATAAAAATAAAATGCACATAGAAAGACTGTTCAGGTGTGTGATTAATAACGAGTTATGGGTCCGATTGATGTGCACGAACTTCTCTTCGCCGACGACTGCGTCCTCAACACCACCTCGGAAGAGGAGATGCAACGGAGCATGGATCTGTTCTCCGCCGCCTGCGAGAACTTCGGTCTGGTCATTAATACGCAGAAGACGGTGGTGATGCACCAACCGCCAGCTAACACAGCCCCTACCCCTAACGCGCCGCAAATCAACGTGAACGTAAACCAACTGCATGTGGTGGAGAATTTCTCGTACCTGGGCAGTACTCTCTCCCGTAGCACCAAAATCGATGGCGAAATCGCCCGCAGGATCTCAAAGGCCAGTCAAGCCTTCGGTCGTCTTCAAAGCACAGTTTGGAATCGTCATGGTCTCCAAGGGAGCACGAAACTGAAGATGTACGAGGCCGTTATCTTCCCGGCGCTGTTGTACGGAGCGGAGACTTGGACAGTGTACACAAAGCCGGCACGCCGACTCAACCTTCTCCTTTTATTATATCGTCTCGGAATGCATACTAACTCAGCTATTCATATATATGTATATGCAGTATGTTATTAAGGACAAAGACACGGGAGAGTGGAATGGCCATTTCTGGCTTATTAGCCGTCGTCAGACCGTTATACCCCACCCCGAAGTGTGGAACACCAGAGGCTCGAACTCGGGACCTGCTAGTTAAAAGTCCAGGCCATACTGTCTATATCATACGCCGCTGTGCGGCTGCTGGTTGGACTCGAGAGAGAGTCCGTAAGATACGACTTAGCGAGTGAGTTCCGTACGACGGGAACTGTTAATCTGCAACCTCAAAAATATGAGAAATCAAATTAACTAGGATTAAGAATGAATTTAACATGGGAAAGCTTTATTTCCTCAAAATATCAGAAATGGAATACATTAGAACTACGTAGCTGTTTTGAATGGAAAATGTTGATTATCATCCCCAAAAATATCCGATTCCGAATACGTTAGGATTAAGTACGAGTTTAGCAGGGGAATGATAATTTTTATTTTCCAAAATACAGTGAAAATCGAATAAATTACGATTAAGTGGTGAACATCGTACTTGCTTGCCAAAGTGGGGACGTCGCATGAGAAAACTGACAAATGTGGTTGGATTCCATTCTTTTTTTAGGTCAATATCAAGGAAGCCGCACAGGAAATCACTCTGACCGAAGTCTGGTTCACTTCTTGCCGTACCGCGGACGCGTATCCGGCGGGCACAGACAACTCGGCAAATATAACGGGGAAGCCGCAGTGCAGAACAGGACAACAGACAGAAGACTCTAGAGGAGAGAGTGGAGGGCAGAAGCGAAGCCAGTAGGAAGCGTACGGTGTCCTGCGGTGGGGAAACAACCCGAGCGAGAGGCAGGTATTCTGGACAGTAAAGGCTTTGTAAAGTAGCCCCTTCCTACTAACCAGGCCGATACTATGCACGTAAACCTCTCTGTCTTTCATTTTCTGCTGACCTACGCGCATGGAATGGGCAAGCGTGCCGCGGGAGTTCGACTGGGTGGGTCAGCACGTGCTATCGAGTTCGCACGAGGAACAGCAAACCTCCACTGAGCCAGAGACCGTAGGGGGCGATGCACAAGAATGCTCGGCAACGTAGCCGGGCTGGACGCCGAGAAACATGTAGTCCAACCTAGGCAGGTAAAACCTCTGAAAAAACAAGACTACTGGGACGATAACAGTAGGCTTGAAGTAAGACTGTGAACAAGGATGGCTTCGGGGTGCCCACCGGTACGTTTCCTCTGAAAGAAGATAAATCACGTGCAAACGATTCGAATTCGGTTTGAAAATTCCGACCTCCGGGCTTTTGCCTTTGACGAAAGATCTATCTACCGGAGGTTCTCCTGGCCCGTGGATATTAGGCACTCGAGTCGATCTTGCAACACATCCATTCGTACAAATGTGTGCCAGCACGTGCATGGGAAAACCAGTCTTCTTCCCACCGCTTCCTTGTAAATAACACTGAGAGGTTCCCCAAATCTAAGAACAACCAAGTCGTTTACCTCATATTGATGATCTGGTTAAGACTTCACATCGTACCTTTGAAAACATCTGAAATTTATCTAGTAAATTATAGCAGTCAGACATGATGCCCTTGGGACGTTGTGGAAGATGCGTGCACCAGGCCGGACAATCGAACGGCAGGACAAACGACGTTACCACTGTTTGAATTTCAAATACGACGATGAAACCTGTACGACATTTTTTGGACTCCTTTAGAAATTTAGCAGGATGAAGAAGGAGTTTAAACGTCTAGAAATGAGGGTAGAGCAGTTAAGCAGTCTCACTCACCACTTACCGGAAGAGCAGTCTACGCAAAAAACAATCTAGAAAATAAGAAAACATAAGCAAGCACGGCTTCTCTGGTGGCAGTTAACGCTGAAAATGAAGATGAGCCGTTTAAGGAACTAGACATAATCGGGGCAGTCTCTTGAGCGAGGAAAAGACAAACAAAGGGGACTTCAGAGAACAAAGAAACGTCCCTGGACAACACTACGTACCTCTGTACGATCCGAAGAAACGGAGGCCGAGTACATGCGCACAGACCAGCGGAAGAAGACTCTCAGAAGGCCTGCGAAAGGCCGAGGAAAGTTATGTCGCGCAACGGAGATATCGAAACGTAGTGTATGTAAAAAACCAGGTCAAAAAGACTTCGAATAAAACTTAGTCTAGCGTTTCTGACGAACAACACTGCAACATTGAAGGAATTACTATTAACACAAAGATGGCCAAATCGGTCACGGATTTGAGTTCAGTCAGTACAATAGTCAGTTCATCCGGACCTAGCGGAACAAATGAACTGGAAAGGAGCGCTCGGTTCGTCGCACGATATGGAGCGACGGCCGGCGCTAGATTAAGTCACAAGCAAAATGTAGTTATAAAAAGAGTTCAACAGTCAGCGTTAACAATTTCAAGGGGGAGAGGCAGGCATAACTTAGACCTTCTTCAAGTATAAGCGAAAACTTTTCAAGGGTTGGCAAGTCAATGAACATTTTCAAAGCATATAGTATAGGAAGGGCTCAATTAGGGCACAGTTCAAATTCTCGGCCGCGACCCTTAAAATTCGTTTTGGAAACTGAAGCACAGGCACAGCTCATGCTGCAGAGAAAATCGTCTCTGCTGGGCCTTCATCCCGAAGTCTTTTTCTGTCGGATTACGAGCCAAAAGAGCGAAAGAAAATGAGACAGCTAATGACGGAAGTGCAGAAGCGAAGGAGCAACGACGAAACACTTCCAAATACGGAACGGAAAAACAGTTCAAGTTGAAAGAGCATTTCTGAGGCTAAAGGCAGTCATTCGGACAGCACAATCAATATAAAGATGCACACTTTCGAGACTGCAATGAGCATGGGTGGTCACTGTCCAGAACTCTACTACACTTACTGTCAGAGTCCGTTCCACAAGCGGAATAAACCCAAATTACTGGCTCCTGAGCAGTCACCTCACACAATTGTACTAACAAGGACCTGGTTGACTGAGGTAATAAGCTGCAGCGAAGTCCGTATCGAAGGCTGCCAGGTATTCAGTTGTGACGGATTCCATCGTAGGAGAGGAGACGTCGTGACTTATGTAGCGAATGGAATTGCCTGTCGTGGGAGAGAAATATCCGATGTAGTCGCGTTAAATTCTAGAAACGTTCTATGCAAGATTAGTACCAAACAATTATCGACACTTAACCCGCGCGTTATCCTTCGGTCTTCCAGCTCAAATGAAAGCTCTGACATGGAACTGCCTTGTGTTCTTCAGCTGTTATGCAAGCAGAAGAACTTACTACTTCTGGGTAGCTTGAACGCCCCAGGAATAGACTGGAAGATTGTTGTAACAAATTCCCCGTCCACATCGTTGGACCCCAAGCTACCACAATTTTCTGTGGACGAATGCTTATGTAACACATAAACTCCAAGAAAAGACGGAGAGGAGGAAGCAAAACAACTGTCTGGATCTCGCTTTCAGAGAAGAATAAGGAGGAAAGTGAGTGTACAAACTCCACTAAGTTTAAGTGACCATGTTGCTTTTACTTGCGTGTGCTTTCTCCTATCAAAACCACAACCACAACTCGAGAAACGCAGAAATATTTGGAAGGGTAAGTTTAACAAACTGAGGCGTGCTGTCCTAGAGAAACCTTGGTCTGGCAACAGGGAATATTTAGAAGACTTCTGGCAGTAATTTCTGGAGATTATTAAGGGTCTTTCTTTCGTTTCCTGAGTAACAAGGGGGATTATATACGCATCCAATCATGGCTTTCCTATTTTGCGGAAGGATTATCCAAACAAAACAGAGATTTTCAGAAAAGGAAGAAATCTTCAGGTCATAAGACAAATATGTGAGGCTTTGATGTAAAGAAGACAACCACCGCCGCGTTTTTCAACACGGTCTTGTCACTATAAATTGGATAATCTATAGCGAACGCCGAGTCAGAAATTAGTGAGCCCAAGGTCCTGTAGTGCACAAAACATCGGGGTCAAACGAGATGGTAACAGTCCTTAGTTGTGCCATCTTTTGCACTACTGGTCTCGCGTTGAGAGAAACTATCCTGAGCGTATTCTTGAGATGCAGGTTTTGCGCATTACTAGTTATAAAAAGGGAGGAGTTGGTGGTGGAAAATTAAGTCGTAGGGAGGAAGTAAGGGGTGGAAAGCAAAATTGCTCTGGTCTGAAATTTGTGCAGATGTTACCATTAACTGAAGAGGCAGTATTGTATGGAAATAGTTTTGGGCAGGATCCATGAGGAGGCAAAGAAATAGATTTCTAAGAATTTTGAGCCTAATATGAGGGGCGAGTAGTGTTAGACGACAGAAATTTTTGCATTATGAGTAGGCTTTATTATTTGAGAAGTAAGGCCAACTGTGGGGTTGAGGAAATTATTAGTGGAATTGTATACGTACATTTTACAGGCTAGCGTGTTAGTGGGCTTCCCAACTATGACACCTCTTTTAACTTGAGAATTCGAGATAGGAACAGGTAAACATCTACCTGAACAATTATCTGGCCTGTTTGACTTCACATCTAGGTCAGACTTGAGTGCCTGGCACGGGAACGGGATGGATTCGACCCAGTTTTATTAACTACGTCATTATTCTGAGCCATAGAGGTCGATTTCCAATCCAGAGTTCATCTTTACTGATAAGATCAAGCGGTTTGATAAAACTCAGAGCAACATTTAAGCAATTATCGGTCCTTGGAGATGTCGCATAGTGACAGGTTTCAAATAAATCGTTGATAATGTGCTCAGGTGATGAGCTAGATGGAACTGGGGCCGCCGCAGGTACGAGGAAAAGTTAGCTGGCAGCAGATGAAGGACCTATCTTGTCAACAAATACCCGATGAGTAGAATTCTGGAATGACTTTTCGTTTGCTAATGAGGGGAGACTGAATTGCACTGGAGTTCTATCCAATGCTAATTGTTTGGGTATTTACTCACCAGCTAGTTAAAGTAGTCGACTTGTATGTCTATGTATGTACTATTTAGACTTAGTGTTCATAGAAGCGAACAGGCGAGTTCCAGGTAGCAGTTCAGAAGATGAAGATGCGATCACCGGAACAAGAAATTTATTTGCCTAACGTTTCGGATCCTTACTCGAATCCAACATCAGAAACATTAGCAGATAAAGGTGATTGTGGCACCAGGAGTCTGCCGCAAAGATTGTGGTGGCCTAAAAACCAAAGTGTTCCTGAAAGCGACAAATACGACGCAAATACTGCACTTCAATAGCAACCACCCGATCAGTCACAAACGCAGTTGCGTAAGGGCGCTATACCGGCGTGTTGAGACGCACTGCAGTGAAATGGAAGACAAGGTTGCTGAATTACAATATATTCGACGGGTAATGAGAGCCAATGGCTACCCTCGCAACTTTGTCAACCAGTGCATACGAAAAGGACACCAGAGACCAAATCCAATTAGCCCCAAATTTTGGCGGGCTCTTCCGTACGTGAAGAACGTCTCGGGAGCCGTCAGTCGTCTTCTCACTCCACTTGGAGTTGGGGTTGCACAAAGGCCAGAAGCAGCCATTAGGCGCCAAGTCATGAGGCCAAAAGACCCGCTGCCACGGCAAGACACGTCTGGAGTCATTTACCGGATCTGGTGTAGTTGCGAACAAATCAATTATGTCGGAGAAACTGGGAGATTACTCCGTACGCGAATTGCCGAGCACGCAGCAGCAGTGAGGCGGGGAGACGCTAACTCTCAAGTGGCGGCACACTCGACGGGACCCGGCCATATTTTCAAATTTCAAGAGGCCGAAATCCTCGCAAGGGGTGACAACAGCGTGAGCCGCGAGTTGCTCGAGTCATGGTTCTCAGGCCCGCAATCCATCAACAAACACAATGACCTCCCGGTGCCCTATTCCGTATTGCGATTTTCCCGGGGCAGGAGAATCAGTCACGTGGGGAGGGCGCGGGCGAGCAATCATCACGGTGACAGTGAGCCAGTTTGCCGAGCAATCGTCACACCAGCATCCAGCACGGATGACGAAATCGCGGCAATTAACGACTCGGACTCGGACCGACAAGCCACCACCGCATCAATTACGGCCCCAGCGGTGATTACGAGAACTGTTAATTGCAGTGCGCATGCGGTCCCACGGCAGCCAAGTGCTATAAATACTGCACTCCTGGTGCCACAATCACCTTCATCTGCTAATGTCTCTGATGATGGATTCGAGTAAGGATCCGAAACGTCAGGCAAATAAATTTCTTGTTCCGGTGATCGCATCTTCATCTTCTTAATGTTCATAGTCCACTTATACAAATTGTTTATCGTTTTTACTGAATATCAAAAGCAATTATGAAGCGTAATTACTGTGGTTATCACCGAAGCACCATATACAAGCGCATTAAGCGCCAGATGAAGGCATATTATGAGGCCAATGAAGAGCCTGATTCTGAGGTTCCCTCAACGTCGACGGCAGTTGGCAATCAATCCCCCGAAAGAGAAATGCCTATACTGAGCTCTGAAACTTCTGTCGGTAGGATTTTAAAAGACAACATGACTTTGGATGCGGCCTGGCGGCTGGCACATATGGCCGAGGACACGTCGGGCCTCTCCTTTTCAGAGCCCACGGAGCTGAGCCGAGGCTTTAGAACGAAGTAGGTTTCACTTGTAATTAATAATTTTTGTAGATTAACCTCCGATTCGGAGGGTGATGTTGACGACAACATAGTGGAACAACAGACTGTAAGGCGAATAGCGGGTTGGCCGGCGCCAACACCCATACTTCAGTAAGTAGCAGTACATCTGATGGTTTTTAGGGCAAGACTTGACGAAAACGTACATACTTCCTCCGCCGGATGGGGCAGGCCTTCACCTTTAACGGTCCCCTTACTTCCATAAGCAGGTTATATTTATCATCCATTTCAGACTGCAAACGGAAAAGGATGCTTCTGTGGCGCAGAGTGACATATCAAGATCAATACAAAGGGAACTGACAACATAGACCTTAATCAGACGTCCTTCTTGAGGAGTTGCGACAACAGCGCGCCCTCATAGTTAAAAAACTTGGGCAAATACATGCCTCCACCGTCGTTGTCGGTCAAAGGGTTCGCGCACTGCGCTTGCCGCTATGCACGGAGGACGCCTAAGAAGACTTCGTCGGAAAGCTTAACGACGTGGCCGATTTTCGGGAAGAAGTGGTATTTAAATACGCAGCTGTATTTACTGTCCATGTGTTATAAATGAAACAACTTTTCTCAGTTGTAGGATGTAATTACAAGGAGTTCGTGAGGAATCTCCTCAGTAAACTGCTAGGACCACCCCTTTGTCATAACTACTGTTTGGGTGGCTCAATGCGGAAACAATCATTTGTTAGTAGTCCTTTATATGCACTCCTGTGTGGTAAGTTTTCCTCATATGTTAACCGTTTAGATGCCATTTGCCTGAACCCTACCTTTAGTGATTGCACCCACGAAATTGTTCGCAAGACGATCATTGATTGGTTTCATGGATCAAGGGACCGGTATAGCGGCCGGGCTAAAGGCCGCATGGCAGTTGGAGGGACTAGCGATGATACACGTTGCCCCATACTGTCTCCATCTGAAGACACGGTAATTGCCATCAATGAAATTTACATATTTAAGGTTAAATGTTCATACTGCTGCAGCGAACTTCATTAGTATGAAAATTGTTATCTAAATTTTGAAGTAGTAATTTCCCTTCGTCGACCATGTGTTTCCCCAAAAATTGTTTTTCTTCGACTCTAGGAACGAGCCGTCTATGCGGGGACTTATGGACAGTCCAACTGAATGGCATAAAATTTGTTAAAGTCCATGTATATACTGACACTGGCATTTATTATGATTGTACATCTTTTCCTATTCCTTTTTGTTTCTAATTAAATAACCCATTCACATGAATTCGCGTCACATGTATCTGATATTGGGTGCCGATTAGTGGGTACATGTACGGCGTGGTCACTGTGAGTACTATGCAATACCGTAATACTCAACGTACGCTGCGTTGGTTTCGACGTGTAATATGTGGGAACAGTAAGGCACTGCGCCTCAGGGGACTCACCATACGGGTCGATATTTTAAAGGGGGGCCAAAAGTTGGCGGAATTGTGGCGTCCCCTGCGCATTTTATTCGCTGGCGGGGCCAGGAGGGGCTGTCGCGTAGAATACCCTGCTACAGATCCTTCCACAGCCCCGCCAAGCCCCTTCATAACCCCCTCTAGCCCCTCCATATTTGAGGGGCTTGGTTGGGGCTAGGCGGTGCTGGTGCTGGAAGGGGATTTTCAGTTGTTAGGTTGACATTAAAAGCGGTCAATGGAAAAGATTTATCGTTAAAACTGTAGTTTTTTTAAGAAAAAGTTTATGCGGAAAACCCTTATATATGCGGGTGATACTTAACAGGAGTGAGGCTGTGTAGGGTGAAAAATTATGACGCTCCCCTCTGGATCATGCCGATCCGAATGACCTCACAGCTACCCCAGTAGCCTGTGTCGGGGTTGAAAACAAATCCCGCATGAACTCGAAACTCATATTCATGTATACCAAAGCGCAAAGTGTACTTTTAAAACTGGACGAACTCCGTATCCATACCTACGACCTCCATTCAAACGTTATCTCAATAACAGAAACATGGTTGTTCGAACATGTTGATGCTAGGAGCACATGTACCCTGGATTTTAACCGTTCCGCCGAGACAGAGAAAACAGAAGGGGTGGAGGCATAGTAACATTTGTTAAGAATGGTTTGCACGTTTCAGAAAAAACTGCCCAACTGACTTGTAGTACCGAAGCATTACGGCTGACCATATGGGCACCAGGCTCTCAAGGTCTCGATATCTTGACAGTATATCGCCCTCCGAGAAATGACCCTGACGCTGATGCCCAACTGCTGCAGGAGCTCAGATAATTTTCAACCCGGCCGACTACTCTCATCGTTGGAGATTTTAATGCACCTCACATAAACTGGAGCTCGGCCTCAGCTGACTGGTCTGAAGCAGAATTTGACCAGCAGCTACTGCGTACCTCCGACAACCTGCTTCTCACCCAACACGTAATGTTTCCAATGAGAGTTCGAGGGGGCCAGCAAATGAATTGCCTTGATCTAGTGTTCACAAAGTCGTCTGCCAACATTGACGTTATGAATTGCCTTCCCCGTCGAGTCAGTGTGACCATGTAGTTCTCATATGTGAATACACCTTATTCTCCCTGCCTGCATAACCGCTCGATTCCCGACCCAATATCTGGCGCGGCGATTTCGAACAGATGAAGAAGGATCTTAGTCCTATCGACTGGGCATCCACTCTCTCCGGCGATGTCGAAGAGGCTTGGTGTCAGTTCAAAGAGTTAGTTCACAACCTCATCTCCGACCACTGCCCAATCATTCGCAGAAGACTAACAAATAGACCCCGCTGGCTGACTCCGTCCTTAATGAAGGAAGTTAACAAGAAGAGGAAGCTGTGGGAAAGATCCCTGACTGACCTGACGCCAGAATCCCTATGCAGTTATAAGTCACAGAGAAATCGGGTCAAAATTCTCATTGCCAGAGATCGGAAAGCCTCTGAAAAGAACCTTTTGAGCAGTGCCATGGTTAGTCCCAAAATCCTTTACAGCTACATAAGACAGAGCACACGGAACAAAGATCCCGTCCCACTGCTGCGAACGGCTGAGGGTGCGCAAATCTCCAATGACAAGGATAAGGCTGAACATCTCTATCAGTTCTTCCGGTCAGTCGTGACAAGTGAATCTGATTTTTCTCACCCGCTTATGAAGACGAAGAAACGCCTACTCTCGAAGCCGTCTTCTTCATCCAACCAATTGTTCGGAATGAGTTACTAAGCCTAAAAGAATCGACCTCCCCAAGCCCTGATGCAATTCCGGCCAAGCTCCTGAAGGAGCTAGCTCCCGAAATGTCCAAGCCGTTGGCCTTGACCTTCCAAACGTCATTTGTTACTGGACGCCTGCCCTCTGACTGGAAGTCCCTACCATCACTCCGCTTTTTAAGAGCGGAAGTCGTGCGTCTGCAAATAACTACAGGCCAGCGAGTCTTACCTCCATCAGTTGCAAAATCATGGATAAGATCATTAAGAAGGCCTTGATGCAGTTTCTCGAGCAGTATAAACTCCTCTCCGATGCCCAACATGGCTTTCGAAGTGGTAGGTCCTGCCTCACGAATCTGCTCTTTACGCTCGAACGCTGGACCAAAGCACGTGATGAAGCCAATGTGGTGCACGCCATCTACATCGACTTCAAAAAGGCTTTCCACAGCGTTCCTCACCAACGTCCCTTTTACAAACCGCGTAACGTTGGAATTCGTGGGCGCCTTCTTGTATGGATCCAAAGCTTTTTGGCTGGGCGGTCTCAATGAGTGCAGGTCGGGCGTCAGCAGTCCTCAGATGTAAGCATAGTGAGTGGTGTCCCACAGGACTCAGTCTTAGGTCCCACGTTATTCCTCGTTTTCATATTTGACTGCGTCAAGGACCTAAGCTGTGATGTCATTCTGTTTGCCGACGACATAAAATTGTGGAAAGTTATTCACAATGCGGCAGACGCAGACCAACCTGCAAGCAAACTTGAAGAGGCTCGAAGACTGGTCGAAGCGCTGGCTTATGCCCTTCAATGTAAGCAAGTGCAACTTTCTTCAACTCGGCAGCTTCAGAGCCCCAAGCCCCAGGACTTACTTTCTACACGGCACAGCACTGCAACAGGTTGACAGTCAGAAGGACCTGGGTGTATGGATTACATCTTTACTCAAACCAACACTGTATTGCGCGAAGGCGGCTAAATCGGCTACGGCCACATTGTAACTCATTAGGCGAGCATTTATGGGATTTGACCCTGACTGCTTTTCCAAAATATTTGGCACCTTCGTGCGAACACATCTAGAATGGGCCAAACGGGAAACATTTGAGTGCTTTTTCACGGTCAAGCAGTTGGTTGTTACAAAGAATCCACTTTTTGCCACTACGGACTTTTTGAAACCACTTTCTTACTGTTCAATCACCTGTGGGCCCTTGCGCCATTGGTATTTGCGGCTGTTTGTAAACCCCTATGACCAAGTTTGAGCTCGCGCAAAAAACTAAACGCATTTCTTACTTTTCATCTTTGTTACAAGGGTTTACTTGCTCACATACTGTGCCCTGAAATAAATTTTGGGAGACTTATAAAAGAGTACACACCAGTTATTAAACATGCCCGATTTTGTATAAAACACGCGGAAATAGCTATTATTCTCAATTTTCAGAAGCGAGTCGAAAAGTCGACCAGCATCTTCCGAAAAATCCAATACATACATTGAGTTTTTTTGTTACAGTGCCGTCTAGAATGAAAAAAACCGGCAACACTCGATAGTTTTTTTCCTCAACAAAATCCTCAGCTTACCTTTTTGCCTAGATACTACGGAAATTTATGTGGATTTTGGATTGTTTTTTTGACGTAGCTCGTTACGAAAAATCGTCTACATACGATTCACTTTTATTGTTTGCTAAATCTCCATTTCTAATCTTTCTGGCTTTAGTACTGCCTGCTCTACGTGAAGTGCCAATATTTGTTTCAGCTCTTTTGCGCAACATACTACATGGGTAGGGGGTGAACAGACAAGATTGTGTTGCACGTGCAGATGTAGTGCTTTATCGATCTAACTTGATCTGTATAAGATCAGTTTAATTGAGTCCTGATCGATTTTCCCTTATAAGTTTTTCGTTTTATATTTTACAAAGTAACAGTAGATTGATTTGTGGTGTCAAGACCAACAACGCCATTAGGTCAGGTCGTGTCGTCCTTCATGCTCGTCCCAAAGCTCATATCTCGACTGCACTCAAAACGCCTCAGTTAATGTGCTTCCACGTCGTCAAGTGACAACAGCCCACTCCAACCGAAGCTCCGAAAAAAGAAATGGATTCCTGTTACGTGAACGTAAACGAGGGTATGAACGAGTGGTCGTCATCGAAGACTATAGCACGCAGATCATCTCAAGAACCCTGGCAGTAGGTTTTTTGCCCATCTATCCCTTTCACCTGGCAGTAAAGCTGGTTGGAGAGGTTGGTGAAGACTAGTGGGCAGAAGTAAAGAATTCCATGTACCAGACCTTGTACCCATGGTCGCGCGAATTTTAGCAGCTTGCTCGGTAAACACCCAGTCCGCACAGCTCTGACCGCAAATTATTGGCGATTTTAGCGCTGACAACTCAGCCAACGTCTGACACTTGTGTAAACACTTCGGAACCTTCCTATCGTTGATTACCCATCAATCACTACCTTCCTCTCCTCTGAATTCTAGTTCGAGAAAAGGGATGTGAGATCGCTGGGGCGTAAATTTTATTCGCCTGAATTTTCAGATTCTCACTCGAACCTTTCCGTCTAAGAAAGTCGCAGGTAAGGGTGCTGGACGCACATGGAGCGCAGTATTTTTTAGGATGAAGTTGTCATATGACCACGATAATCTAATTTTAGGCGGAAGATTATTGCAAAGGAAGGCATATTTGGAAGCAAAGAAGAGGGAGCGCTTAGATGTAGTGCACAGAGGCGGCGGAATCACCATGCAGGAGTTGCGCGTGGCATAAGACCGATCTCTCGGAGTGAGAGTGCCAATGAGCGGAAGACTGGAGCTAGAGTTGATGCGAAAAAGGAAGCAAAGGCCAGCTTCGAGTCTTCTAACCCACAAAAACTTAATACTCGCCAGCTGACATCTCTGAGTATAAGAGATACCGGACGAAGCTTGACAGGGCAGTCTCCGGGTGAAAACCCTCTGAACATTTTCGATTTTATTACGGTCGCAGGCGTTCATTAAACCGAAGAAAGGACAGCAGTACTCGAGGACTGGAAGAAGAAACATTTGATCAAGTCTTAGCTTCATTTCCGAAAGGAAAAAATTATGCGATATTAATCCACATATATGCGCGGCTTTGGCAGAGATTCTATCTGCATGAGGTGATAAAGCAAGCTTATTTGTATAAATTAGACCGAGGTCCTTTATGGTGAGGCATTCTGAGAGGGGGTTATTCTGAAAAATTATGGCACTAGGAAGTTTGGCAGGACCAAAAGACATGAAACTACACTTGGATGATGAAAACTCCATCTGCTTAAGCGTAGTAAATCGGCATTAATTTTTTCAACAAAAGCGTTTGCGGTGTCCTTAGAGTATGAGTAAACACACTTGAGGTCATCGCATAAGTAAAAGTTTGCGAATTTCCGAGTTCAGTCGAAATATCATTGATGTACAGAAGGAACAGTAGCGGACCCAGAACCGTGCCTTGCCGTACGCCACTCGTGATCGAGTGAGGCGTCGAGTAGCTACTACCGACCATGACTTTCTGATATCGGTTGGACAGAAGAGACCTGATGAAGTCGAATAGAGGCGGCCGGATGCCGAGAGCTTCCAATTTTACAAAAAGACGTCTATTGGGCACCTTGTCAAAGGCTTTGCTAAGATCAAAGTAAATAACCACCACTGACTGCCGCTCATTACGAAGAGAAGTGATTAGATTAAGAAAAGCCAAGTGACATGTTTCGCAGGATCGTTCAGGTGAAAATCCATGCTGGCTAGAGCTCAGAAGCCGATTAGCTGGACAGAAGTCAAGAATTTCATTAAAAATAATCCTTTTAAGAAGCTTTGCTAGAGATGGCGTTTTGTGCACGCCCTGATAGTCATTAACATTGAACCGAGATCCTGACCTGAAGGCGGGAATGATAATTGACATTTCCCATGTTTCAGGAAAGAATACTTTTGAAATATAAACCGATAATAAATGACTAAGCAATATGGGAAGGTCGGACGCTTGTCTAATAATCGAATTTGGAATCCCGTCTGTTCCTGAGCAGTGTGAGTATTTCAAACGGCTTATGTGTTTTTTAATGAGATCCGAGGAGACATCGATTGTACTAAATGTCCTATCTGAAAGTGATCGAAAGAAAGGGACCGGATCGGACTCGTTAGCAAACAAAACAACTCCGTCTTGCCAGTGTCATCGGTGAGGAAGACTTTGTTATCATTTAGCTGGGGTGGAAGTTCGTGACCACGCTTAGAGGAGGACTGCTGACGGAAGATGATAGCGGCCAATTCGCCAGGGCTCGAACCACTGGGAGCAATTGATGCTCCTTGCCTGTCGCGCGCTTGGCGCATCCTTGAGGCCATCTCAAAAATCTCTGTGATTCTAAGCTGAAATGATAAGGAATTAGTGGATGGGGCACGCAGCTGCCGCCTCAACTTTTTTACTCTGTTCTGAAGAAAATGAGGAACAAGGGAATCTGAAGAATTAGGCTTGAGATATCTACGCAGCACAAACTCTAGGATGTCCTTGGAAACATTGGACATGACATCACGAAGAATGGTTGCATCGCTACAAGAGAGGAAGCCACACCAATCCAATGATCTAATATAGTCATTTATTAAGTTGTTATCTATGCAGCCGTAGTTCATGTAAGTCCGAAGGACGCTGGTCTGCCTTGAAAAGGCAAGCGGTAAGCAACAATGAATTAATACGTGGTCACTGTCAGAGGTCCTTTTTTAAAGCAACGAAAAGAGGAGCAATGTCATTGGTAAAGATTAGATCTAAAATGTGATTATCTCTTGTTGGAGAGCGCACCAGTTGGGACCAATTAGAAAAATTGACAATATCTTGAAAGGGCTGGAATCTGGGTGGGCAGCTATTGGAAACCCAGTCAATTTCAGGAATGTTAAAATCCCCAGTGATTATTTTAACATCGAAAGCAGCTTCCGAAATTAATTTAAAGATTTCACAGAGTTGTGAATCATCACTGGCTAAAGAATTTGGGGAATTTTAGATACAGTTACCTTAACGCAGTGAGACAAATGTTTGCTCATCCACACACCTCGATCCATTAGCTCGCTTACTATCTCAAATTGGTTAGTTCCGGTGAAATACTGACTTCCAAATCTCATAGTCCATTTGTAAGCAGACCGTACTCGGATAACCTGGGATTGGTTGGAATTGGGTTAAAGGAGCCACTCCACACACCACTGTTGCAATCGATCCAAATTATTTTGCAAGGTCAAGGCATTATCTCAGTTTCTTTGGTAAGGATAATAGGCAAAGCCTTTGAAAACCCTATTAATTACATGTCAGCCCGTTAGAAATAACTGTACACGAACAAAAAATATTCACTATTTAAACAGTACTTGATTCATTTGAGTAGCGTTGTATCAGAGAAAATATTTGTAGGGCCGCGGGGTCTTAGTTCAGATTCAAACTGTCGAGGGAAAACAGGGGGCACAAATAATCATCCAAGCGTTTCTTGAAGAGTTGCAGGGACGTAGCCTCCACGACTGACTGAGGGAGATCGTTCCATTTCTCCACTACCCTCTGCGTGAAAAATTCAGAACGAAGATTCAGCCTGGACATTGTTGTCC